CAACACCTGATTGGACACAAGGAAACATTCCTTCTGGAACATTTGCAGCCCATTTGCAAAGTGCTAGCACAAAGCCTTTACCATGGCGCATAGGCTTCATGCTGGCCCTCTGCGCAGGGGTGAATTTCACACTAAATCAACCAGCACAAACTGTGACAAGCAAATGGGGTTTATAAAACCCCTCTGTCACTAATTATATATAGGTGACCAAAGCAGAAGGAAAGACAATTCGCTGGTTTAATATGGATGATTTTTAAACTGATGTCGTCCCTAGAATAAAATATGTAGACTTTAAAACTCCAAAAAGCACCTATCTAGGTCCGTTTTTGAGCCCTCTTTCTGGAACATCTGAGTGTTTCCACCCACTGTATAGCAATGTACACAAAGTAGTTTGGTCTCCTGCTAAGATGGCAAACATCAGCCCTCCAGTGGTGCTGAAGATGCACAATGAAAGCAAAGTTACATAGGGGGCGTGTGCATTGAGTTTAGGATGGGCTTGGGATAGGCTGGGTCCTCCTCCCTCCTCTTTGCCAAGCCTATCGCAGCAACTCTAGGGGTGTGGATCTTTCCTTGCATCACAGCCTCTCCATGTTGCTCTGGTCCAGGGGTGGCCAACCTGTGGCTCCAGAGCCACATGCGGCTCTTCAGAAGTTAATATGCGGCTCCTTGTATAGGCACCGACTCCGGGGCTGGAGCTACAGGCACCAACTTTCCAATGTGCTGGGCGGTGCTCACTGCTCAACCCCTGGCTCTGCTACAGGCCCTGCCCCCTACTCCATCCCTTCCTGCCCCCTCCCCTGAGCCTGCCGTGCCCTCGCTCGCCCCCCTCCCCCCCAGAGCCTCCTGCACACCACGAAAGAGCTGATCGGGAGGTGCGGGGAGGGAGGGGGAAAGCTGATCGGGTGAGTGGGAGGTGCTGGGGGTGGGGGAGCTGATTGGGGGCTGCTGACGTATTACTGTGGCTCTTTGGCAATGTACATTGGTAAATTCTGGCTCCTTCTCAGGCTCAGGTTGGCCGCCCCTGCTCTAGGACCACCAGGTGGACTATCCACTAGGATACCCCACTCTGCACACATGGGAACGCACCAAGGAATCAGCTCCCCCTCATTGTGAATGGAGAGAAACCAGCCTTGCCATCAGTAATGCTGTAGACCACCCATGCTCCTGTCCACTGCTCTCTCCAGGTTTCCACAGCTCACTCATTACCGTGGTATCTGAGCAGAACAGAGTCCACCACTCCCCTCTTCCCCCCCTCCCCCCCGCCCCGCAATACCCATCGGGAGCAACGTTTCCTATAACTGTCTGCCTCAGAGGAGGGCAGGCACAAGAACAAACTCTTTCAGAAAGCTAAAGCACGAGGTCGCAGTCATTAGCTGCCCTTTGTGTTATGATAATTGTATTATGAGTTTGCTTTTATAAAGCGCAGCCTCGCACTGTGCATTAGAGGCCATTTAAAACATACAGGTTGACATCCGGATGCTTTGCCTCTTTTTACTTTATCATTTCCAAAGCCCCCCAGGAAAGACGGGGGTGGGAGGACAGGGAGACTATTTCTGAGCTTTGGTTAAAAAAAATAAAGGGCAGCCATTTGCTAAATGTTATTTCTGGGTTTGCATGTATTTACCGAGTGACTCTCTGTTCCCATTGCTGTAATGTAATAGCACACTGCACAGATTAGATGCAGCATCCCCGTGAGTTAAAGTACCCACAGTGAACGCATCATGCCCAGCTTCCCTCTGCACATCATTCCAATTGTAAATACACCTGGAAGACAGGAACAGAATCCTATGTCTGCCAGTGAAATGCTCTATCTCCAGTCCCCGCAAATGCCTCTAAAAACACTGCAAGCAAAAGACCCCAGCTGAACTTATATGGCAAACAATGCCGTACACGAAATTCACGTGCTAGTCACGTTATATGCACTAGTTCAATGACCGATACATGAATCAAACCCAACAGAATGAGCCACCATGCAACCTGCAAAAGCAAGCATCATAACATGCAACACAGTAACTCGATCACGCCCCAAGACTGAGGACACGGTGAAAACTGATCAGCCCCCAGCATTCCCCACACATCCTATTATATTAGAACAAGGCAGACATCCAATGATATTACAGAGCTGGAACTATAGAATCACAAAAATATTTCTTCACCTAGACCACAAGCCAACCTGGGGAACTCACTGTTGCAAGACATTACTGAATTAAATATGGTCTCTGGAGCTAAATAAGATTGAGACCACTGTCAACATCAGTAGCAGTGCAAATTAAGAGCCCAACTGTGCAATCCTTAAGGGCTTGTCTACACAGTACAGCAATGCGCGCTATCGTGATGTGATTTCTAAAGCACACTAACGTGCTGCACTTCAATTGGAATAGCAGTATGTTACTGTTCAAGAAAGATGAATTCAAACTGGAACAGGTGGTGAGAAGTGCTACTAGGATGATCAGGGGAATGGAGGGCCTATTTTATGAGAGGAGACTGGAGAAGCTAGGCTTGTTTAGCCTAGCAAAAAGAAGGCTGAGAGGGGATATGTTTGTTCTCCATAAATACATCAAGGCGGTAAACACCAGGGAGAGTGAAGAGCTATTTAAACTGAAGGACAATGCTTGCACAAGCACAAATGGGGATACATTGCCAGGAATAAATTCAGGCTGGAAATTAGAAGAAGATTTCTAACTATCAGAGGGGTGAGGTTCTGGAACAGCTTCCCAATAGGAGCCATGAGTCCAAACAACTTAATCAGAAAGAGCTGGCCAAATTCATGAGTGCCATTGTATCACAAGACTGCTTGTGATGATAGGAGACAGAGCTCAGCACACAGCCCTGGGGATCACTTCCTGTTTGTGTCATATTACTAAAAGCTCATGTTTCAAGGATTCAGACGGTCAACCTGCAAGGGTCAGGAAGAGATTTCTCCCCTGCTCTCCTGCAATGTATTCAGGGTGAGTTTTTGGTCCCCTTTCGTTGAAGCATCAGGGATGCAGATGGCGAGAGATGAGACACTGGATAGGGTGGACCAGGGCTGTGAGGTGACACTGAGCATTCTCTCTCTCGCAGGTGCTTGGCTGGCTGGCTGGTTCTTGCTCATATGGTCAGGGTCTAACCGATCACCATATGTGGGATAGGGAAATAAATTTTCCCCTGGGTCAAACTGACAGTGACCTTGTGGGTTTTTCACCTTCCTCTACAGCATGAGAGTGCAGGTCTCTTGCCAGGATTATCTGGATATATCTCACTTCATCATTGGCCTGCCACTGCAGGGGCCTCAAATACCGGTGCACCTCTGTCCTTCCTAGCTCTGCCTGTGGCACATAATAGTCTTGTCTCCTGTGGGCTGTAATACTTTGGTCTAATTTCTGTTATTGGGTTTAGTGTGCGGGTGCTGGGTGGTGCTGATAGCCCGGGAGAGACCAGAGGTCAGACTAGATGATCTGCTGGTCTTTCTGGCCTTCAGCTCTATTAATCTGTCATTTTAAGTGCACTAAGGAACCTTTAGTGCACCAGCAAGATCTGCACGGGTCAATTAATGTGCAACACATTTGTGCGCTTTGGAAATCACACCCCAGTAGCACGTGTTACCCAGCAACGTAGACAAGCCCTTAGTCTTGTTGGACAGTAATTACTCATGCGAGCAGCCCCACTGAAGTCAGGATTATTTGCATAACTGATCCTCAACATAAGGGTTGCACAAGATAGCCCTAAAAGATTGAACAATTAAATCATGTACTTTGAGGGGGCAGCATGCTGGTCAGGGAACAATCACGTACCTACACCCACTACATAGCACTGCATAGTAACTAGGTACGCAGTGGTGGGATGTATGTTTTCTTCTGAAGCATCAGGTACTGGCTACTGGAGGGACTATGGACCAACAATATAATTTGCCCAGGCAATGCTACATTCCTATGACTTATTGCATGACATGTCTTGATATTTTCTGACGTGTTGTGAGACCACTTGGAAAGCAACTCACATCTTCTGTCTGGCTCTCAGTACTGAAGTCAGAGAAGAGGAGCTAGAAGAGATCTTTAACTTGACGTCCTTGTGCCTAATCACCACACAAAATGATCTACCATATAGTGTAGCATTTGGCGACTGAGATCCATCAGCCTTGTTATACATTAGCAATTAAAACTGCCTTCCCCGGCTTAGTCATGAAGGGCAAATTATAGCACGCAATCAATACTTTACCTAGGGGCTGATATCCTTGTCTCGATGGGCCTCCAAAGGGGTTCCGGCTTCCGAATCCGCTCCCATCAATGGAACCATAAGACATTTTCTACGGGGCGGTGAATGCAGATTTTCTCTTAAGGCTGAAAAAGGACACAAAGAAAGAACAGTTGGCTAAAGTCCACAAGCATTGCCTAAAAGACCCTGCAAAGGAAATAAAGCCCAGAGCTTCCCTAGTAACCTTGTCCACCACTAGTGAGAGTAGAGCACCGGGGGGTGAGGAGGGTTGTCAGGTCTCCTGAGTTATGTCCCTGGCCTTTCCACCGACCCGCTGTGTGACTTTGGGTAAATCACCTCCCCTTTCTGTGCCTTAAATGAGCATAACACCACTCGTCGGGGGTTGGGAGACTTCATTCTTTACCGTGTGCACTGTGCTTTGAGATCCTCGGATGGAAGGCGAGTGCAGGGGAGTGTTAGCAAAGGAAATTAGCCATTGCCTTCTGCAGCATTTTCGCTACAGAGCTGGACAGGAGTCCATCCGTCACACTGCAGGCTTGACGAGCTCTAGAGAGACAGTTTATGGCCATATCATAATCTCCTGGGCCTCCAGTACAAAAACTGCAGCCAGAGTTATTTCTCCTTGCCTGTAAAAAGATGCTGCATCAAGCAGCAATAGACTGAATTCAATACAGTTCTGGCAGCTGCAAGCCTAAATCTCCTCCTTCATCTCCTCCTTGCCTCTGCAACACGCACCCACCTCTGCCCCAGAAGCCTTAGATTATTTCAAAGGGCTCCCAGGACTCGAAGGGCCACACATGACTTACCCTGGAGGCCCTGGGAACCTGATGGCCCAAAGAAATAAGGACCAACATGCTAAGGCAGGGTTGGTAGGTAGCCAGGAAGTGGCAGAAGCGGCAAACAGGGGAAGGAGCAGCATGAGAAGTAGTGCTGGCTCCCCTACTCCCAGGGAGCAGAACTGGAAATGGCAGCCCCTTCTCCTTGCTTGTGGTGGTGAGGCCAGGAAGAAGGACAGTGGATGGAGGGGCTGATGGCCGCAGATGGGGCTGATGGCTGTGACAGTAGATTCCCTGCTGAGAGGGTGACAAGGACCATACAACAATGGTTTTCCTGTCCCTGCTCAGCTGGGAGCCCTTCACTGGAAATGGGGCCTGCAGCATGAGAGAAGGCAGGAACTGGGAGCCAAGTAGCTGTGTCTGCACTTAAGATGCATGTTTGGCTGAAGGGTATAATAAAAACCCAGACACCCCCCAAGTACATACACCAGCAGCGTGGTCCAAGCAGGGCCGGCTCTGGCTTTTTTGCCGCCCCAGGCAAAAAAGCCTCTTGCCGCCCCCCGCCCCCCGCCCCCGGTTGGGAGCGCGGCAGGGGAGACCGCTGAGCCCGGCCGCAGGCCCGCTATCCCCGACCGGCCAGAGCGCCGGGAGGAGGGCGGTGAGCCCGCCGCGGCTCCACTGGCGGCCGGAGCGCCGGGAGGAGGGCGGAGAGCCCGGCCGGGTCCCGGCTCTCCCCGGCGGCCAGAGCGCCGGGGGGAGAGCGGCGAGCCCGGCCGGGGCTCCGCTCTCCCCAGCGGCCGGAGCGCCGGGGGGAGGGCGGCGAGCCCGGCCGGGGCTCCGCTCTCCCCGGCGGCCGGAGTGCCGGGAGGAGGGCGGCGAGCCCAGTCGCGGCCCTGCTCTCGGGCCAGAGCGCCGCACCGCCCCCCTCCAGGTGCCGCCCCAAGCACATGCTTGGTGGGCTGGTGCCTGGAGCCGGCCCTGGGTCCAAGCAGCTGGGGCAGGAGGCGGGGAGTCAGCAGACCTGGGGTTCTATTCCCAGCGACTCGATGTGTAACCTCAGGCAAGAAAGACGCCTGCTTGGTGCCTCAGTTTGCCTGTGCGTATAATGGGGATAACACATGTGCCCCGTTTTGGAAAGATACAAGTCTGGAGTTATCTATGAATTACCTAGCCTAGGTGTATCGAAGGTCCGAAAGAGCAGTTTCTGTAGGAATTATTCATTGCAATTTATTCATGGCACCAGCTACCAAAGCCTGCAGCAGAAGGCGAAGTCTGTTGCAGTGAATCCGCAGCACTTCATTTCAATCAGCTGCAGGAAGAGCAGAGTCTCCAGACCCCACACCTCCACTTGGACTTTGGCCGCAGGCAGCTGCTGCACGTTTTTTTCTTTTAAGCTTCAAGACACCAGGCAAAAGTACTGCTGCCGTTAGTGTGGGCAATGGAATCCATGGCATTCCAGGAAGCCACTTACTGCCCTTTTCCGACTGGCGCAAAGGCACACAAACGGAGAGCTGTGCAATTTCTCTCTGCCTCAAGAAAAGAAAAAAAAAAACCCAAGGACTAATCGACTCCCATTTGCACTCCAGTTCCCTGTCAAGTTGCAGATCTCATCCAACAGCGGAGCCGCATTCCTGCACAGAGGGGATGTGCCAAGAGATTCCTAGACCTTGTGGCAGAACCAGCCTCCAGTACAGTTGGCCCCCAGGAACGAAACTGCAATAGCCCTAAAGCCAAAAGGGAGATTCAGCTCCGAGAAGCCAGACAAGAGAAGCTACAGTGAAAAAGAAACTGAGTACAGGAGTCAAAAGGCACGAACCAATAAAAAAAGCATAACTGATAGACCTCTAACAGTAAACACAGTTCCTCACACTGCTCTAGTGTCTTTCAGTTGAGGATCTCAATACACGTTACAAACATGAATTAGGCCTCAACATCCCCATGAAGTAGGTACGTTTTCGGCTGAGTAAAACTGCAGCACAGAGTGACAGAGCTGGGAACAGAAGCTAGGACTCACAACACAGACCCCTCTTCTAACTACGAGACAACACTTCCATCTAGATACTTATAACCAAGAATTTGTCACAGGTATTTTTAGTAAAAGTCAAAGACGAGTCACGGCAATAAACAAAAAAGTCACAGAACCCCACGATCTGTCTGTGACTTTTACTAAAGACACTGGGGGGAGGGGTGTTAGGGGGACTAAAAATGGGACCCCACACCTGCCACTGCTCCAGCCCCGGCTGCTGCTCCATTGCTCTGGCGGCGTGGGCTGATCATCAGTCCTGGGGGCCCCCAGCAGTGGCAGCCTCTGCTCTTGCAGCCTGGGGCCGCTGCTCCTGCAGCACGGGCTGACCGCTGACCCTGGGCCCTGAGCTGCTCCTGACCAGCCCTGGGGGCTGACCCGGCCACTGCTCTGGTGGTGGGGGCTGACCACCGGGACCACCAGCCCTGGGCCACTGTGCCGGCAGAAGGAGCTAAACACTGGCTCTGCGGGCCGACCTGGCCCCAGGCTTCTGCTCCTGGGCGGGGGGGGGGGGTGGGGCTGACAGCTGTTCCAGCCCTGCTGCTGTGGCACGCTGAAGCTGAAGAAGTCACAGCGGTCCAGTAAAGTCATGGAATCTGTGACAGACTCGTAGCCTTACTTATACTAAGGCTAAAATCAGTCACGGATTCTGCGATTTTATGAGCCCTCTGTGACTTCCTCAAAATTCCACTAATTCAGCCCCGCCACCTGTAACTTATCTTCACAGGGCCCCCTGTGGCGGGGGTCCCCAGGGAACTGCCCTGACTGCTACCCCCTAACGCTGGTCCTGTCTACGTTTTCGTGATTTGTTTATTTCCCACGTCCTGTCTGTGACTTTCACTAAAAATACCTCTGCCGAAGAGTAGCCTTACTTCTAACCCCCATTACTGCAGTATCTGGGCGCCTCATGATCCTTAATTTACTTATCCTCACAACTCCTCTGTGAGGCAGGGCAAGACTGTTATCCCCATTGTACAGATGGGAAACTGAGGCACAGAGAGACTAAGTGATTTGCCCAAGATCACATGGGAAGTCTGCGGCAGAGCAGGTAACTGAACCCAGGTCTTCTGAGTCCCAGGCTAGTGACAGAAATAATACAATGTAAGGTCATGCACTTAAGGTCTAACATTAAGAATTTCTGCTACAAACTGGGGGTTCACCACGTGGAAGCGACAGAGGAGGATGAAGACTTGAGTGTGCGGCTCGATCAGAAGATGACTATGAGCCAGCAATGTGATATGATTGTGAAAAAGCAAATGTGATTCTAGGATGTATCAGGAGAGGCATTTCCAGTGGAGACAGTGACGTATTAATGCCATTGCACAAGGCTCTGGTAAGACCTCACCTGGAATACTGTGTGCAGTTCTGGTCACCCAGGTTCAAGAAAGATGAATTTTAATTGAAACAGGTGGCGAGACGAGCTATGAGGATGGTCAGGAGAATGGAGGACCTGTCCTATAGAATCATAGAATATCAGGGTTGGAAGGGACCTCAGGAGGTCACCTAGTCCAACCCCCTGCTCAAAGCAGGACCAATTCCCAACTAAATCATCCCAGCCAGGGCTTTCTCAAGCCTGACCTTAAAAACCTCCAAGGAAGGAGATTCCACCACCTCCCTAGGGAACCCATTCCAGTGCTTCACCGCCCTCCTAGTGAAATAGTTTTTCCTAATATCCAACCTAAATCTCCCCAACTGCAACTTGAGACCATTACTCCTTGTTCTGTCATCTGCTACCACTGAGAACAGTCTAAATCCATCCTCTTTGGAACCCCCTTTCAGGTAGTGGAAAGCAGCTATCAAATCCCCCCTCATTCTTCTCTTATCCGGACTAAAAAATCCCAGTTCCCTCAGCCTCTCCTCATAAGTCATGTGCTCCAGCCCCCTAATCCTTTTTGTTGCCCTCCGCTGGACTCTTTCCAATTTTTCCACATCCTTCTTGTAGTGTGGGGCCCAAAACTGGACACAGTACTCCAGATGAGGCCTCACCAATGTTGAATAGAGGGGAATGAGCACGTCCCTCAATCTGCTGGCAATGCTCCTACTTATACAGCCCAAAATGCCGTTAGCCTTCTTGGCAACAAGGGCACACTGTTGACTCATATCCAGCTTCTCGTCCACTGTAACCCCTAGGTCCTTTTCTGCAGAACTGCTTCCTAGCCATTTGGTCCCAAGTCTGTAACAGCGAATGGGATTCTTCTGTCCTAAGTGCAGGACTCTGCACTTGTCTTTGTTGAACCTCATCAGGTTTCTTTTGGCCCAATCCTCTAATTTGTCTAGGTCCCTCTGTATCCTATCCCTACACTCCAGCGTATCTACCACTCCTCCC